TCTGACATTCTCCCCCAAATTGTCACCCACATGATAAATCAAAGCTTCAGGTGATATTAAATTAACTGGAACATCTACAAAGGAGCCAGGGGAAGAGACAGTGGGGGGAACCAAACAAAGCAGAGACCTCACTCGCAGGGTTAACAGACAAGTTACTCTTTGCAAGCGAAACAAGGGAATCTGATTTCTCAGCAAGCACACAAGGGACCTCAGCCGAAGCCAAGCCACACATGGCAGGCACAAATATAGAACATGACATAATAGGTTGTGGGTTAACGTCACAATTACCACCCCCAGGCTCACTAACACATAAATGCTGGCCATGAATGGCAGGAACAAACTCATCCACCACGGGATCCATAAGCACTACATTAGAATTAGGCCTACCAGGTGAATCACAATCAACAACAGGGGACGCAGGGAGGAGCTCAGGGGTAGACACAGGCACATCCGGATTAACACCCAGAGAAATAAGATTAACATACTCAATCAAAACACCCTCACCCGAAACAGCAGGATCCTCTGCCAATGATGTGAAACATACATGCAGAGATGAATTACTTAAAGGAATTTACACACTTAATATTCGTAGAACAAATAATTATATCTTGATGTTGGATTTAACGACGCAATAAAACACTAAGAGCGGTAAGACGAGCTTATGACGAATCACGTGCATAAAAGTTAAAATCAAAAAACAGTCAATTTAATCTAACGTTGCATACATGGATGGTTTCAACAATAAATCCCTATGCTAACAATAAGATTAGTCACTACAAGAGATCCCTCACTCAACTCTTCTAATTACTAGGCTTTAGCGGGGAAGCATTAATGTGATCGTCATGAATCTATTAAGACCACAATTGAGAAGTAACTACAAAGATAAAATGGTCGGATGAAGAGTTTACCCAAAGAAATAGGAGACATGAAGCTTTAGTGGCTGTTTGGATGCTTGAGATGAAGTGGACGGCAACCCAGACTCTTCTTGATGTGGTGGACAGCAATCAAATACTTTAGGACAGCATACGAAGATCTCCCGACTGGCTGGACAGCAGGAAGAGATGCAGAATTTCTCTGGACAGCAGCAGTTTGGTCTTGGACAGATCTTGGACAGCAACCTTTCAGGCGCAAGAAACGTTGGACTGTTCTTCTAGGCTGCTGGAAACTTGGGACAGCAAATTGTGGTCGTCCAGTGTGCTGGACAGCAAGATATTCTTGCTGGAATAAGGAGACAGCAAGCAGAACTTTAGGACAGCGGCAGTTTTGACCCTGGAGGGGACCTGGACAGCATCTCCGTCAAGGCTTAGAAATGTCTGGGCTTGCTCCTTGGTTGTGGGAGTATGGACAGCAACCATGCCTCCTTGCCGCTGGATAGCAAAGCTCACGTGGATGGTGAGTGGAGCATCAAGCAGGAAATTTTTTGGAACATTTTAATTGGGAGGGATTTGAATCTTCAATTTGAATTCAAATAATTTCCAAATAAAGGTGGCTTGATTGGCGGACAGCCAATGGGGGTTTAATGAGGATTTAGGGCAAAATTAGAGAGAGAAAGGGCTAGAGAGGGGAATGGGAGTTTCATTTCATAATCTGAAATTAATTTCAGATTATGAATGACATTAAGGGGTTATTTTGAAATTTGAATTTGGATCAAGGCATGTGCATTAAACTAGCCATTAAATGGATTCTCCCCTTGATGAGGCCGGCGGCATGTAGAGAGGAGTTGGAGGAGGATTAGTGTGATAAATCAATTTCGATTAGGAGGATGCCACCTAGGATAGGAATTAGTAACTCCTATGCCATGAAATTTGAATTGGATTCAATCCAATTCTTTCCTTATTTGGACTTTGGCAATTATGGAAATTTTTGGAGCTCATTCAAATTTGAATTTTTCGAAATTTGAGAACAAGGTGGGTGATGACGTGGAGGTAAGTTATTGAGAACTTTAATTTTACTTTAATTTGAAATTGGAATTTATCAAATAAAACTTTCCTAAATTGGATTTCCAAATTAGGAAAGAATTCGAAATTCGAAATTCAAATTTCAAATTTGGAGCATGCCGGGAGGGAGGAGTGGACGTTGGGGAGGTTGCCGGCAAAGTGGCAGGCCGAGCCGGTGAGGGTGGCGGCGGGTGGACTCCATAGGTGGCGGCAATGGAGCTAGGGGAATTTTGGGTGGATGAAGAGGGGAGGAAGGAGATGAACAAAAAATACGAGTAAATAAGAGATAACTAACGAACTCACAAAGAGATCGTAAGAACCGCGAACCTCGGACTCTTCCAAAGATTGGCGGATATTGCGAATTACCCTCCTCGGGCTTCTCCTTTCATGAACTCACTAAGAGATCACGTGAACTCACTAAGAGATCAACAAAAACATGGAACTTTTCATTATCAATAATCATCATCCCAAAATACAAAACAACTAGCCTATAAATAGGCTTCATGAAAAGAAAAGAAATAAAAGACTAAAATGCCCTTTGGGCTACAATACTACATGACCACCCATAAGGGTATAAAGGGAAAAACAATAATATGAAATAAACTAGTACATATAAATAAATAACTCAAGATCGTAGCCGTTGATCTTCGATGTCCTTATCAGCCAAAGCCACAATAACAACCTCACAGCCAACAGTCCCTAAAATCGGATTAACCAATGGGTTTGAATCCTCCCCAACCATCACCTCATTAACAACCAAATAGGATACACCCAAAGCACGACTCTTAACATTCCCAGCTAGAAGGGTATTAAAATTAGACAGAGGAGCCGATGCACAGTGACCTCTAAGGTGGCCCAGACGCTTACAAGACACAAAAATCAGGAAAAACCTCAAATTGCACATTTTGAATATACCCAGAAACCTCTAGCCCGAGCCAAATTTGGGAAGGATAATTTTTAGTAATGTCCAGCTCCACCAACACACGGGCAAGGGATGGCCTAGATCCTACCGAAATGGCAGAATCAGCCTTCAAGGGTCTACCAAACATAGAACCTAAGGCATGAAGGATACGGGGAGAGTAAAGATGAGGTCTCATATTAGGAAAGGAAACCCAAATCGATATGACCGGAGATTCACATCCGATGTCGAGTAGCGGAGACCATTTAGTGAGCTTTATGAAACAATTATTCACCAGATAAGAACGATGGCAGAAAATACGGCTATAGTCTAGGCGTTGGAAAGTTTAACCAGCACATGCGTCTGATCCAACACCGTAACAGAGAAATCAGAATTAAGTTTCAGTGTGAAAAAAAAATTGTGAATAGCATCTAGAGACGGATGACGCATGGGGAAAAAACCGACCAAAGCGAATTGAAAAGGCACAGCAAGAGCTTTAATTTCATCCTCATAAATCCACAACGATGGTAAACCACAAAAAGAGCCTTGACGGAGCTCAGGGAAACAATCCGGCAAGGATAAACCAGAAAGGGCTTCAGCAAACGACTGAGATTTAAATGAACCATGCAAAAAGCCCGGATTAGCAACCCGTCAAACCGCCATTCCGGCCACAAAGGGCCGGAGGAGGAAAGACGAGGGTGATGGCCCGGAAAAAAAGAACGGAGAGAGACGAACAACGAGAGGATAAGCAAAGGCAACTTCCCTGAGGATTCCAGACGGATGCCAATCGAAAAACGGAGGTGGAGAGCATCAAAACCTCACCGGAAGAGCAGCTAGGGCACCAACATGTATTTTCTTCTTTAAAAGTGTTAATTGTTATACTTTAAAAAAGAGTTAACTGTTTTTTTTTAAGATATGTTGGTTCTAAGGTAAGAGAGATTCTTAATCATTCAGATGGAATTTCAATTTCCTCTAAAGGCAGGTTAATTTTTACCATTTAGATGAATTGAATCTGAAGTGATAAAAATTTTCATCCAATTTTGAGGCCACTTTTTACTCTTAATGTGAAACCAATTGTACTCAAAATTTAGTGTATCCTGTGCAAAAGATGATGGTTAATGCAGCAACATGTTCTTGCTATGATGATGCGGAGATGATAAAAAAGGAAATTCCTCAAAAATATTTAAAAAAAAAAACAATTGGTGCTCTATTTTCTTTATTTTTGGATGATTATCTTATTGGTTTTTGCTCTTTTTCTTAGAATTTTGATCCGTTTTTTTTGTTGGACGATCATGTGCATCTGCATATTTCTCCCAAATATTTTTATTATAAAATTCTATCATTTTTATTTTTGGGAGAATTTTAATTTTTAAATGTCCTAATACTGAACACTGCATTTCTGTTTTTGATAAATTCCTGAAAAACCGTAATTGGAAAAATTCTGATTTTTTTTGTGAATTATATGTTGCCAAAAGTGATTCCTAGCAATTTACTCGATATAAAAAATCTAATCATAGCAGTTATATGTTTTGTACAGCATAACTGATCTTCAAAAAGACTTGGTGTTATGTTCAACTTTCCTCGGCCTTCTCTGATAGAGTACTTGGTCGAAAAGGGGTTGAAGGCTTGCAGGGTTTAGACTAGAACTACTTTTGCACATAATGTGAAGAAATCAAGTTTACTTCTTATATTATTGTGGTTCTTTGTTGGTTTTAGGTACTTGTTGTGGTATAATTAAAAGAAAAATGTAATAGTTTCCTAAAAAACTCCCATGGAAAAGTTTCAACATATCTTACTATTCTCCATTAATTTCTCTCTTCCCCTACTCTCTTTGACAGTGTTCTCTTTCATATAGGGGAAATGTAGGATTAAAAATATTTGTGCAATTAATGTCATTTGGAAATTCAATCTAATTTTGTGCTATTTTTTTAATAGTTTTTTTCTTTTTTGCATAAAATTATCAGAGTAGTTACTCAAATTGCAAAAATAATGTCCCAGAAAGGACTCCTTTGATGGCTGCACATTTTCTTGCATCCAATCAGAATGTCCTGCGGCTTTTTGTGCCATTTTTAAACTTATTATTGAAATTTTACATGCTTGATAAATACTGCTACTTTTTACCTGCAATGTTATAATCAATTAACTGCTATCCTTGTATCATGCAGCATAATCATGTTTCTGTCTGACATGTCAGGGAGGTGTCCATTATACAAAAAGTATGTTACTTTTCATATTTCGTGAAGCTAAGTAGTCAGTATTGAAGGCCTCTTTAATTCTGAAGTTTTAATTCGAACTTCTAATTTCAGGGCATACATATATTTCAGTTCACCTATACCAAAAGAGCTAGTTGCTTACATCAAGAATGACTCAAGTGTCATACCTCGCATAGGTGCATTAATTGAGGTTAAATGTCTCATTTTGTTTTAGTAGCATATCAATAAGTTAAGATTTCTGCTTATTTAGTTTCCATTTTTTCATTGATTAGATCTTCTTTCCATTGCTAATTTTTTAAATTGGTGAATATGCAGATGAACATGGAGTATTTTGCTATAGATAGTCAGGTTTGTCATGCTTATTAGCCTTATCCCAAGTTCTCAATTATTTGGGGTTGGTGTTATGAATTCTCATTTTTTTCATTCATTCATTCCTATTAAGTTTTTTCAGAAGTATTAAACTCATTTTTCCCAAATCATTTTGATCGACTTCTATCTGTTAATCTTAGATCTACACTTTTTTTATTTTCTAATCCTGTGACATTAATTTTATCAACTCCTCTAATAGGGGTATATTTTAATTTTTATCATTCATTGTACTGGTCTAAACCACCTTTGGTATATTTTGAGTCACTTTATCTTCAATAGATGTCAATCTTTTTTTTTTCCTTCAAATATAATAATTCCTTAATTTATATTTCTTAATTTTTCCATGACCATCCTAACATTTTGTTTTCCAAGCTAAATTTAGATATCAATGCTTTTTTTATAACCCAACTTTTAGATCTATATAATATCAATTATTTAATTATGATTTTATAAAATATTTTTTTTAAGCTGCGTAGTATCATCTTATCACACAAAATTTCTTAGGCACTTAAATATTTTAATAATCTAGCCTCAACTCTAAAAATTATACACAGAACTTTTGAGGAATCCATATTTTAAATATTTTATTAATTATTTTATTTTTTCATGATTTAACTAGATGTCTCATTAATTATACTATCATATGCAAAAAATTTGGATCAAGGCATTTCATTTTAAATATCTTTTGTATGCATCTTCATAACTTATATAAAGGGATGTGGACTCAATGTTGTTCTTAATGCAAGCCTACATAGTTAGAAATTCTTGGGTCATTCAGCCATTGGTTTTAATACTATATAGTGCTTCATCAGACACATCTTGAATAATGTATACAGAAAAGGATCAAAATGGTTTCCAATTATTTCGATGTATCAATTTAGTCCCCCAATTCTTTAAAATGGGATCAATTTGGTCCTACCATTAAAAATTAATGAAAATTTCGGATGTCACAACTATGCCCCGAGGGTATGATTGGAATAAAAAAAAATACACGTTAAAATAGCAACTCATTCATTTAAACCCTCTAGCAGACGAGTGTTGAACCCCAACCACCAAATCCTTCTTTGAACCCTCCAGCAGATGAGTGTCGAACCCCAACTTCTTGCAGCACAGTGATTCCCTCATCTTGTTGATCCCGCAGTCGACACCCCTCATCGCGTTGATCGTGTGGATCCCACACTCGATCACACAACAAAACAATCCTCCTCTTCACGTCAAACTCATAGTCACTCCCCCTCTGAGTGTCGATCGTGTGGATCCTGTTGTCAATCCCACAACGCAACGATCCCCCTAATCGCGTCGATCCCCCTCTGAGCGTAGGTCGCGTGGATCCCGCAGTTGATCATGTTCCCAACTCATTCATTTTGATTAGACCATTGAATTTGAGCCATATACCATCGTTGATTTATTAAAAACTTTCTGAATATTTTGATTCAAGAGGATCTGCATATGATATTTATTGATTTATATAAATCATATACAAATAGCTATTATCTTCTCAAACTAAAGAAATATTATAATTAGCTTTTAAACTTAGGCACAAATATTTTTATCAATCATAATTTATAAAATATGACTAAATTTTTTTAAATTAAAACTAAAAATATTATTAATTTCTTTTATTAAAGAAACAATTAAATAATTTTTTTTAAAAAAAAATTATAATTACTTGAAAATTATATTTAATAAATTATTTAATTAAAAAATGAGTAAAATACCTCTATTTTTAACACTATTAAGTCCAACAACCATTAGTTTGGATGTTAGGACCAAAATGGTTTCATTTTAAGGAGTTGAGTGACCAAATTAGTCCATCAAAATAGTTGGGGATATTTTTATCCCTCACAAAGAGTTGATGGATCATTTTGATACTTTTCTCATGATGTCAATGTACCTTTGACTCTCATATTTCTACCTTAAAGGCTATCAAATTTTCCCATGATACTTGAACTTATATACTTAACATCTCTTCAACAGGTATATGCCATAGTAGTACATGCATCTATCTCAAAATTTAAAGTTTAAACTATCTTCTAACTCAACTTGAGGGCACTAGTATTGACGACATTCCTAAGTTCGTCTTTGATAATTATTTTAATAATAATTATCCTATTACTCAACAATTTTGTCTTTCAACTTTTTATCCACTTCTATTGTTAACCTTTCCAATATATGATATTTTATATTCTTCCCCAATATCTTGGTTGTTTGTCCTTTTGACCTAGTTCTTGTTACAATTAATATTTATTCTCTTATCAGACTATCCAACAATTCTTACATCTTATCATTCAAAGTTCCTAAATTTCAAGTAGTAAATTTATTCATAGATTTAGACCCAATCAACCATGTTTTACTTTTTATCACAAAATAGTTAGCTTGTGGCTCGTTGCTTATGGGTGTCGTTCTAGCTCTTCTTGCTTGCTTTTTTTCACTCTCGGGCAATTTTGGTGCTTCCATTAAAATGGTTAGGTTAGTCATATGTTAGGCCGGTTCATGTTGAACCGAGAAACCCCAAACGGCCCTTACAGGGCTGATTCTCTACTACAGGAGACAAACTTCTTTGGGGGGAACATTGCTGCCCAAGCATAGTGGGCCCACCAGGAAATCCAATAGGGAAAGAAGGGGCGGCTAGGAGAGGGAGGGAAAATTTGAATTCGAGATTTGAAAATAGAGAAGTTTGTATTAAATAGGATTTGTCTAGGGTTAGGGTTATGCTTATTATTGTATGCTCTTGGTGTTGTCTTGGGTGTCTTGTGCTCTAGATTCATCATCTAGAGATTGGGAGGGAACGATCCTTCTCTCGAATTGAGGATCAATTGTATCTTTGCTTGTTTTTGTTTTTGATTTGATTCCTATAATACAGTCTACTGTTCTGAATTATTTTCATTGGAGATATTGAGATTTTCTCGCTGTTTTTTATCAATCTTGTTAGGATTTACATGAATTATTCAAGTATTTCCTATCATCATCTTGTCAATGTATGGATTTTTTTTTAATCAATAGCATACCTTCTTATATGTTTCTTGAATTCATTTATGCTATTTATTTTTTTAGCATTTGAATTCACGATCACCTTGGTTTCAAACTCTAACCCACGTAAGATTTCATATTATAATGAGTATCCTGATGGCTTGATTTTGAAATGTATTCTGAAGGGCTTTGTTACCGACCAAGAGTTGGCTTTGGGAGAACTATATGGAGAAAGCACTGCAGATGTTCGCAATTTCAACTTGTGCTTGAACACGATGGCCACACGCATTGCCACAGTTTTTGCATCTATGCGGGTAAGAATTTGTAATTTATTAATGTTATTTCTTTTGGATTCTTCATCTTAACGCTTTCTTCATGATGAATTGTAAGATGCTAGTATATTGTCATAATTAATTGTCTTGTTGTTAGTTTTCAAGAGCTGATCACTCCACTTTGCATGATTTCTTCTTATTTTTAGTTTGAAATATTAATACTTTAGAGTGCAAATCTTTTTCCTATAAAGTTTTATTTATTGTCAGTACATCCAGGTGGCAGATATATTTTCTAGGTATTGCTAAATGAGATATTTACTATAGAGTTACTTTCCAAAATTTAGCATCTACTAGATTGCTTGTTAAAATTTTTTTAAAATATGTCAGCTTGTGGATGACAACTTGAGCCATTTGCCTGACATTTTTTTGGCAAAGAAACCAAATTGCTGATCTAGATAACATTAGGGCATGTTTGGATTTGTTTTGTTTCTTTTTTGTTTTGTTTTAATTTTTATTTTTTTTCTTTTTTATCTTTGCTTAAAAAAATGATTGGATAGTCTTCTTGTTTTTTGTTTGTAGACAAAGATAACAAACAAATTTTGCAACCAAATAAAAAATCTTGATTATTATACATAAAAATTACCATAATGAAGTCTATTTATTTAACAATTAATTGATCAAATACTTATCATAATTAAATCTAATTTATGCCTTAATTAATTTAATTTATCATCATACTCACTAATTTGTAATTTATTAGGTTAAATAATATTTATTTTACTATATATTTTTATTTAAACAAACTTAAATTCATTTATTATTTTAATTATTCAACATTTAAATAATCAGAAATAATTATATTTTATTTAAGCCTTAAATTTAAGTTACCATTATAATCACTATTTCATTAGTTACTTTTAGGTTAATTAATATTTTAATTATACCAAGCTTAATTAACCTTACAAAATTACTTCTTAAAATTTAATGATATTAATTATAATATTAGTTAACTCTTAATAAATCATACTTAGTAATTAATTAGCAATTACTGCAAGTAATTAGTTAATTATCCCATGCCTGATTAGCATGATTATTACTAATGAGACCTTATTATTCTTAATAAAAATCTTGATTAATCTCTCTCTCTCTCTCTCTCTCTGTGTCTATATATATATATATATATATCTATATATATCATTAATTATTAATTACTTGATTGAACAAATAAATTATTATTACTATTTCATACTAAAAAATAGTATGATCTTAGTTAAGTCCTAATTAATCCCTAATTAATGTAAATAATTAACTGCGACCTGCTAATTAATCTATTAATTTGTTATCATAGGTCTAATTATTCTAATTAAAATATAATAATATTTTAATGACCAAATTTAAAAGCCCTTAAATAAGCTTCAATTTGCCTTATCATATAGTTATAAATAAACCATTTTAATTAATTAGTAATTGTACTATAACTAATTTCCATAATTGAACACCATTACACCTTAATAATCTTAATTATAACCTAATTAATCATTTGTTACCCTAATTACTCTATAATTAGATTAGTGAATCTAATTAATCAAAATAGTTACTTAGGCTGTTTCCAGAACATGTGAAAATAACTATAATTTCAAAATTTCAGGAAACAACCGCATTATTTCTGAAATAAGAAATAGAAACATAGTCGTCAAACCTTATTTTCTTACTTACGTGCTTGGTATTTAAATCAGAAAACAAAAGTGAATCCAAAAATGGTCTTAATTTTGTTCATAGCATGAACGACTGCATAGGACATTCGAAGTAACTTTAGTTGACGCCACTTACAGGATAAAGGGAGATAGAGCACTGACAAAATTTGTTTGCTATATATATTCTTACATTACTATAGAAGGCTAACTAATCTATACCAATGGATCTAAACACCAATATCAGCTGCAAGAAACCAAAACTTATTCCAACTAGAGTTATCTTCTGGTTCAGTTGCTTGTCAAGGTCTAATTTACTGTGGCTTGCAATTTTCAATAATACCAACAGCTCTACGTAGGGATAGCCGATCCAAGTTGCACAACAATTTCCTATGGCCAATTCTTCAACCGTTTCAGCAACCTGATCTTGGTAATCACACTCTGGCTATGCTTAAACTCGTGACTTCAGACCTCCTTCCAATTCCCGGCTTTCTCCAAATTACTGAAAGGAAAAGCAAAAACAATCAACCCTTGATTTCTACTTACTTGGATTAGTTTGTTAGGTAGGAATTTCTAGCAGCCCAAACAGAAGCTGATTGTTGGATATATATAAAAAATAAAGAAAAAAGGAAAGAAAATTTGAAAAGATGTTTCTTTTCACCAAAGAGACGCCACCTTTCTACGTTACAAAAATGAGAAAAACACGGAAGAGGGAGTTCCGACACTTATAAATGCTGTCAAAATGCTGCATAATATGCTAAAAAAAGGGGAAGAGCGTCATTTAATGCTGAAGCAAAAGAAAAGTGCGAAGCAAATAATGTCTTAAATATATCATAATTCATTTTAAAAAAATTATCCAGACTAAACCAAATTAATAGATAACTTTTAATCGAAGCAATATGTACTATCCTAAATCAATGCACTTGCACACCGTTAATCATGCAAATGTATCATGTAAATGCATCAACAATCGTGTAAATTTGCAAATACATCGTGCAAGTGCATTGAGATTCATATGGATATTATGTACACATACTGTTGATCATACAATCCACTTTATACATACGGCAATAATCATACCATTATCTGAGTGCATCGAGGTTCGTGCGGGTGCATCACACAAATGTATTAAGCAAAGTGTGCGAGCGCATTGCACGAGTGCATTATATAAATGTAAGTGTATCTTGAACACTTGCTAAACAATATACAAATGCATATATCAATACATAAGTATGTATACAATCATGAAAATACATATGCAAGCATGTAAATATGCAAATACATGTGTAAATATACATGTACACATGCATATGTATCATACACACCCATTGTGTTGCATGCATATGCACCATGTAGTGTACAAAATGTATTATGCAACGCACATCATTCAACATACAAATGCATTATACATCATACTAGTGTCTTATAGTAATATGCAAACATATTATACGCTGCGCAAATGCATTAAGTCGTCATGAAAATACATCATACATAGTATTATACAACAATGTGACATGCATATACACCATATAAATACATTATGCTAAATGCTCTGAAAAGTATGCCTACTGCATGAGCCCCGGCGAGCATGACACATACACGTGACGTCTGAAGATGATGTGCGGACTAAAGAAATAAATAATTAGTTTTAAAGCATGTTGTATAAATACATAAATTACACACATTAATTTAAAAAGGAAATTTAAATGACCCGCATGTGCTCCAACAAGTGTATTATGCTCTTAAACCCTTGTTTGAGAATATTGCATAGGTGAAAAGTGAAGTTAAGTTCAAGTTTGATCTTCCTTTTTGAATGGATCGGAGTTGACACGACTTGAACCAACTAACAAATATACGGTCATAGTGTCGACCAAAGTATTTGATTTTATATATTCATATTAGGCCTTCAAGCCTCTACAAGAAAATTTTATCACCAAAATACAAATTCTCAAAACCAACGTTTGTTGAATTAACTGAAGTATTTAATTGTATACGTTCATATTAGGTCTTCAAGGTCTTTTATGAAGAAAATTCGTATATTAAAATACATACTCTCGATTCTGATATTTATATGATAACTCCGAAAATTAGGAGCTTAACCCGATCCTCTATTCACAAGTAAACATAGTTGACAAGGTTCGAATAATAAAAAAATTTATCCAAATTCCTCGATGATAACTGTGTTGAATGTTTATCTCAATTGAAGGGGATCCTATAAATTTAAGATGCCTTACAGATTTTCATAAAAATATAAAACATTTAAGTAGATTTTTATGCAACTCAGATGATGGTCATGTTGACAAAAATTTTCAGCCGGAGGGGTCTCTATCTTTTAACTGCCCATAAATATCAAAATTTATTATTAATGGGCTCTGATTTTAATAAAAATTCAAAACTAAAAAAATAATAAAATTTAAAATATTCAAGATGAAATTAAATCACATAAACTTAAAAACAAAAATCCATCCACCCTTCGCAATAGTTTGTTGAAGTGGATAAATTTAAAATTCACTTTAGCTCATGAAGAGTGAATGTCTAATTGAGAATATCATTGAAATTCTTTCTCAAAACATCTCTTGCTTAAGGATGTGGCACATGTGAGTTTGCCGCCAAATGACACTACAAGTAAATTGTTATAACTAGGGCTCTGACTAGGCGGTTTTGATGTCAAATGGTACCACTAAATTTACGGTCACTGCATGAGCTCATATGCTTTAAAACATTAAATCATGATTATCTTCTTTTTCCCTCATGCTTTCTCCCTCTCCATCTCACTGTCTTTTCTCCGTTAGCAGCAAGATGGAGAAAATGGAGCTTGGTCACTTCCCTCTACTCTTTCACTTCAAATTTCTTGTCTTCTCCCTCGCTCTCTCTTTTCATCTTATTATTATCAGCAATTTGGAAAATCTCCAGTAGCCTCTGAGGATGGTATTGCGAGAGATAAAGGAATGGGAAGATCTATACTTGGTTACAAGAAATAAGGGGGGGTGGGAGCTATATTAGATTGATGAGAAAAATTGATGGCATTTCGTGTCTTGATAACTGTTTACCTGCAAAGCCTAGCAAATCATGGAGGATATTACGAAGGGCAAAAGTAGAAAAAGGAAGTTAAAATGCGTAGCCAGTTTGGTAATTTTCAAAATCTTGGACTCAATTGCTAATTGAATTGAAAATACAAACCAAATTACTCTTCTTCTTATGTTAATTCTTAAATTGGGATGAGGATATTGAACCAATTTCATATTCTACATCAAACAGTGTTGCTTCATCAGCTTTGTAGTCAAAATAGCTTCAATTTTGGTTTATTACCTTATATGTTTGACCATTTGATATTTGATAAATTCCTCTAGCTGATTACTTGATATAGGAAGCCAACCAACTTACCACATTCAATCTAACAACAATTGCGAGGTTTATAAGTTCTATAACCTAAAATAAGTTATTAATCTCTTGTAGGAACTTCCTTATGTGCGATATCGTGCTGCCAAGTCATCTTCAAATGCAACAACTGAGGATTTATCACGTGATTTAATACCAAATAAACTTGCTGCTGAAGTTTGGAAAATTATTTCAAAGTATAAAACAGGAATACCAGATTTTCCGCAGAAAGAGACTTGTGATTTACTAATTGTAGACCGATCAATTGACCTGGTACATCCTTATATTTTTGTAGATTTAGCTTCTTCTTTTCCTCTCATATTGCCATTTATTCTGATGTCTTCTTCACTTATTAATTCCACCTGTGCTGATAGATTGCTCCTGTCATTCATGAATGGACCTATGATGCAATGTGCCATGATTTACTAAATATGGATGGGAACAAATATACTCACGAGGTAAGCTTTTTAGAATAATTTATTCTATCTATATGAAATTTTTCTCTAACACAGTGGCCTTTATAGGTGCCGAGCAAATGGGGGTCAACTAGTGAAAAGGGGGAGGCTCTTTTGGAGGATCATGATCCAATCTGGCTTGAGCTTCGGCATATACACATAGCAGATGTAGGCTTTAAGCCGGTGTACATTTTCTAATAGGTGACTTATTTGTCCTACTAATTAAATATTTGGCATATCAGGCTAGTGAAAGGTTACACAAAAAAATGACCAACTTCAAGTCGAAGAACAGAGCCGCACAACTTCAACAGAGTGCTAAGTAAGTCTTTTCCTTGATTGGCTTCTCCTTTCAGGTATAGGTGTGTAGTTCACTTAGTCTTCGTTTGGGATGGCTTTCTTACTACTTCTTAAAGCAGTTTTTTAGCACAAAAAATAAAATTTTTGTACTAAAAAATTGTTTTACGAAGCAGTAAGAAAGCTGTCCCAAACAAAACCTTAAGCTTCACATTTATCAGCATATTTATCTCCACAAACTTTGTTTCAACTACTTGGCATACTGCATAGTTTACATGAGTAACATTTCCATTCTTTCATAGTAGGTGCAGGATCTGGCATTGCTAAAATTTAACTGTCTTGCTTAATTATGCAATTTCACTTCCAAGAATTAATCAAATAGCCATCGTAGTTTGGAATCATTTTAATTTGATATCAGCATAACTTTGAGAAAGCAATAGCATCTTAGTCAGCTAAAACGCTCTCATGTAACTATTAAATTGAGTGCTTTGCCAAGATGCAATATCGTCTTGCGTTTATTCAGACTTGTTCTCATATATGATGAATATACAAGCAAAAAGAAGAAAGGATGAAAAAAGAAAATATAATTTACGAAAGGAAGAAGAGTAAGTATTCTCATGCCCCTAATCGATTATGGTTCAAAATCTCACTCACACTTTTGATACTGTAAGTATGATTACATAAGTATGCACTTAATTGAATTTGTTTTAGTTTTGGATTTGCTTCAAAAGCATCACAGAAGCGGTAGGATCTCTCTTAGTGATACTTATTAGTCTTTGAGGGCACGAACTTTCTTGAAACTTTCATAACAGTACTGAGAAATATGGAATTGAAAAGAGCCAAAAAAAAAAGGATCTCGGAATATAGGCGCATACATATGTGCTGCAGTACTTTCTCTTCCCAATAATCCCATGGGATAATAAAGGGGAAAATTAGTTGCTTTCCTAAAGTTACCCGCTTCTACATACCAATTACATGCTTGCTTTCATTGATGAGGACTACCTAAAATACAATGAAGGCTGTTGGTTGACTTTTTTTTTTTCTTTGAACAATCTGACAAATTTTTCCTTAGGTTCTGAATTATCTTATTTATGATGGGCTGGTATGATATATAGTAGCTATATAATGCATATTCAATAGTCAACTTCATTGTTTGAGTACTTCAGATCGGTGGAGTTCAGTTGTTGTTGAGAAAACCAAGAAACATGCCCAACAGAGCCTTAACAATTTATGGATTTAACTTTCTGCAGTAGAACTATTTATCTATGCAACATTACCCATAAAGATCAAACATGCATTTTTTTTTTTCTCGTAATTAAAGAACTAATTTTCTCACTCCCTTTGTTATATAGAGATGGCGAGGAGTTGTCAACTCGTGACATGCAAAAGATGGTTCAAGCTCTGCCACAGTACACAGAACAAATGGAAAAACTTTCACTTCATGTAGAGGTTTGTTATCTTTAGCGTTTGGGGGTTTTTTGTTTGGTATCGTAAACTATTTCGATATTCTTGTTTAAATGGTTTGGTTTTTTTTTTATCTAGAAAATATTTTGATATTCTTGTTTAAAATAGTTCTTTTGATTTTTGAATGATTTAGCAGCAAATTCGTGAATAATACTGATTTGCTTTAGGTTCTGTTTGGCATAACCTTTCATTTCTTGCTTTTGCTTCCTTGAGCGACACAAGAAATTTTTTGGGTGTTTGAAAGATGTTTGTGAGTAAAAAGCCAAGTTTTTTTTAAAACTGAGGAGCAACTTTCTTAGATCGATGCGATGCAACTTTCTTAGATCGATAGTTTAAATAGCTTATCAGAAAAGAACTATGAATATTTTTGTCCAATTTTATGAAAATATAAATTTTTTTGTCATTTAATCAACACATATTAGTGCCATAATAGTTTATTTATCAACATCCGAAAAAATTCTTACAACACTTTAGATAGCAATCTTAATATTATTTCCTAGACAATAATACAATTTATTCGACAACACAACATAAGATTATACATCACACAATATTAGTAGGCAAATGTGCTAAATGGACCTTGAGATTGATCTACAAGAATAAAGGCAAACAAAAATGATGCCTACTAGGAAAATGGACAAGTCAATGCATGAGGTTCTCTACATTTGAAAATAAAATCCAAATCTTTCCTCCTTAATAAAATGGATAAATTACATGCAGATCCCTAATGGATGTACCTCACTTCATATTGATTCTCATTCTTAAAAACATTACATTTTGGTTCATAGCACTTCTTGAAATTTCAGTAAGGCCCTCAAATTAGTTTTGTCGTCTTCAATTGGTCACTATTGGATGTCTAATTTATTCAAATACATCAAAAATATAATAACGTGGGCTTTAATTTAATTTCTGTCCATATGGAACTGCAAATAGTCCCAATTTGTTGGATCTAGCAAAGGCTGCAAATATTTTAGCCAGCCTTGCATATGAAGCTCACTGAAATAAGGCGTTCACTTTTGCATGAGGCTTACCCCAATGAGGGCTTTTGGGACAGCTTGTTGTACTATCTTACTTCCATATTGCGAAGGGGTTCTTATCAACCTGTTACTTTCAAGTCTCAATCAACACAACGTATCCTTTTATAAGTCACAATGTCTATTATGTTTTTTGGTAGCAATTTTTTAAATCAATTTCTAAGAAAACGTAAGGAAAAGACTAAGAGAGTCGAGGGTGTTCACAGCTGTTGCTACTCCAAAATTCACAAGAATTGGGGAGTGCAAGGACTTCGTAAAAGCTAGGACGAGCTAAAAGCAATGAGAGAATGTAGGGATTTGGAATTAGTTATGTCTTGTATAATGCAACATATTTGTGTTTGAGCAAATATGTCAATAAGCACCGAAATTAATGATATGTGCTCATTGGATAAGATTTTTGTATTGGATGAAATGGAAAAACATGTACCCATAGATTTTGGAGCTTGGGTGGTTGAAAAAACATTATTTCACAAAAACTAGTGAACTTTCCTCCCATACTTATGTCCGCTCGACTCATTGTGCTAATTATTTTATACTCCTATAATTAAAACTCATTCACTTAACCAGAGTCATCCACCCACCAACAACAAATCATAACCTCTAAAGTAAAGTCGAGATAAGATTGGATGCAATAATGTCTCCATTTAGGAGCCCTAAATCTTAAACCCTAAAACCCTAAATCCTATCCTAAACCTCTAAACCCTAAACCCTAAACCTAAATAATATAACCCTTACGGCCCTTGATCAGGTTTGGACAGTCAAACTCTGGTTGTAATCCCAATCAACTCAATATTTTTAATAGTATATGCCATTTTCATGGAAGTGCTTAGGCATATCATCCATAAAGTGATACCTATAACAAAAATCTACTCCTCGACTTGGGTATTTGAACAAATTTGTATCTACCAACATTAGTAGCTTGTTGAGTTGATGTTTGTATAGATGATGAACATTAAAAAGTGCCTTTAGGAATTGTAGATCGCGATCAAGTTCTTCTTCATGCCTAACCATACCTCGCTTTATGTGAGCATGTTTGCATGTTCTTCACATTATATTACTATCACAGCCAAAGCCCGTATGTTTCATAACGGCGTCAAACTCTTGGGTAATGAATCATAAGGTATATTCGATAGGCATAAAGCTCTCTGTCAGCTAAGGTGATTCAGATCTATCTCCTTAGATAAACATCACCCCAGGTCTATAGGGTTTCTTGGACTAAATAACTCATGGCTACTAATAAGGTGCATTTTATCAGGTTCGGTTGATTATCTCCTCTGACTAAGTAAGTAGGGATAACAACAGCTTGGGACGATGGAACCATGAGATTTTGATCGGGCTCGTCTACATACCACCATAATCTATTTTTAGTTTATATTTATAAGTTTCAAATCATCAGACCAAATTAAAACCCTAAAATTGTTGTTATTATACACTTGGTTTGTAACGTATGCGACCTATCTTATGACTAGCCTTAATTGAAACTTCTCTCTTGTTATCTGGAGGGGCGATTAACTATAGGGGCTTGCGCCTATAGGAAACCAACAATCAGACCATAAAGTCCTTACAAAATGATGCTGGAATATCTAGGTAGTGTCTTACCTAGAACCCAATCTGCATTCTAAAAATTTACCTTGAAATCTAAACTCATTAAAATTCTCCTTGCATCACATAAACATAAAAAAGAAATAGACGGTGCGGAGAGGTCGGGGAGCGAAATTTTTGGAGCCCACACGGAAGCCGGGAGATTATTGAATTTTCTAAAAAATAAAAAATAAAAATGACCTTTTTTGAAAGAATTGGAGATCAATTTGAGCATTTTTTTAAAATTAATTAATTACATTAAAACATAATAAAATTAAAACTTCATTTGATTAATTGACTAATTAATTAAGTTAAAATGTAGTAAGATTAAAACTTCACCTAGTTAATTAACTAATTAATTGAGAAATTTAAAATAAAATAAATCAAAATTTCTTTTAATTGATCAATTAGTTAATTAATTAAATAATTTAAAAATGCCACAAATTAAGATTTCAATTAATTGAACACAGTTAATTAAAAAAATGCAGATAAAGGTTGAATGTTTGCATTAAAAATTAGCTCCTGTACAATAGTCCAACTGACTCATACTTAAACTCAAACTCGAAACTCTAATAAAAAAAAAAACACATACTCAGGCTCTATAAACAAAACTCAACTAAACTACAAGCTTGGGGCAAAACTCCAACTCCAAGCAAGCTCCTAGTAGTGCAGGCTTCAGCTATCTACAAATAAATAAACAAAGGGCAATTTAGTATTGTAAATAAAACCATTGTGCAAGAAAGAAAAGAAATGCTATAACAAAATTCTAGTGCTAAAACCACAGTACTGAAACTAAACCAGGAGTGCTGAAGAGAAAAGAAAACTGTTGAAACAAGAAAAAGTGAAGTATTGAAGGAAAAACACTAGTGTCGAGGCAGTTAAAAAGTGCAAACTAAGTAACTGCTGTCTGATCCACCATAAATTGAAATTATAGACAACTTTCAATGAAAGTCGTAAGATCTATCTGAAACTAAAACTATAGGTAACTTCCAATGAAGCCGTAAGACATGCTCTTTGGGGAACTTCCAAGAGAAGTATTAGATCCTCAAACAAAAATCCAAGACAATTAGACAACTTCCAATGGAAGTCATAAGACCTACTTCAACAAGCTGTTCAAGGAACTTCTAAGAGAAGTAACTCATCCTAAATTAAATCCAAACAAAATTTAAAATTACAAGCTACTTTCAATGGAAGCCGTAAGACCTGTTATTTGATAAATTTCTAAAAGAAGTATTAGAGCCCCGAAACTTTAATTGCAGGCCACTTCCAAGAGAAGCAGTAAGACCTATATCTAAACCAAAACTTTAGGCTACTTCTAACTAAAGCAGTAAGACCTGTCTCTAATTTAAATTTGTAGGCAACTTCTAATGGAAGCTGGAAGACCTACTCTTTGGGAAACTTCCAAGAGAAATGTTAGATCCTCAAATTGAAAATTTACATGCTATTTTTAAGGGAAGCAGTAAGTCCTATCTTTTACAAATTAATAGGCTATTTCCAAGAGAGGCAATAAGTCTTATCTTTTATAAATTAACATGCTACTTCCAAGGGAAACAGTAAATCTTTCTCTAAATAATGCACAACTTCCAATGGAAGCCATAAAAGTCATCTTAAATCAAATATATAGGTAATTGCTAAACGGGGTCGTATGCCCCATCCTAAAATCGAATATACGAGCAACTCTTAAATAGAGCCGTAAGTCCCAAATTAAACCAAACTAATGGGCAACTCTTAAATGGAGCGGTAAACCCCAACCTAAATGAAATTATTGAGCAACTCCTAAAGGGAGCCATAAGCCCTAAACTAAATATATCAATGGGCATTCTAACAGATATAAACCCCAAATCACAATAAAACTAAAACCTACATCTAACCACTTCAGTCTACTTGAGATCCCTAAGAGGAGTCTCTCATGGCTTCTAATCAGATTCTATGGATGCTACAATCAATAATTTGTTAGCATTGGTAGACTAAAATTTATAGTATTCCCAGAGCGACGGAATCATAGGATCTTAACCAGGTCTACTTTCCATTCCCCACAAACGAGACGAAAACTTAAAATTTTTAAAGTTGTGCTAAATAATTCATCCTTAATCAAGAGTTTTCTCCTATGAACTAGGAGGGATAATTAACTATGAGGGTTTACGCTCATAGGAAGTAAAAATCCAGATCTTAATAAACCCCGATACAATCCTCGGGAAAAATCTAGTTAATTAAAACTCAATTTGCCTTAAGGAGAATGGAACCTAAGTCTGAAAAGAGGGATTCACATTGATGTGTCATTTTTCTTAAGCAAATAGATTTCTAACAACTTTGTTAGGGATCGAACCCATAATCTCATTTAAAAATGAAATAACACAACCATGTGGTTATAAAGGACATCAAAAGCATCTCTTTTGTGACTCCTCTAGCAGAAACAAACTCTACCCCCTCTGCCAATCCAGACTCAAACATCTCCTCTGAATGTTGCTCAGTATAATGAAAACCCCCTATGAAGAGAGTCATGAATATGAGCAAATTGAGCAACATGTGTTGCCGGACATAATAAATTCTCAGTCTAAGTGTCTAGGTAAGCACTCACCCTATGGTCATGACTCCTCTTCTTCTGCTAATAGAGGTGATAATAATGTGTAAAGAACTGTAGAATATACAAAATCTCTCTTCGCTATAGAATATACAAACTCTGAAAAAGGATTCATGTAGCCGACCCCACATAGTGGGATAAAGGCTTGATTTTGTTGTTGTTGATAACAAATAATCATGATGGCCATACAAAATAAATAAACTAATAAAATCCTACTTCATCTAAATCAAAGAATTATAAAATTGCTACTTGAGCTAGTTGCTATAATATTTTAGCTATCTTGCCATGTTGCAACACCCTTGACCAATATAACCTACTACAATGCCAGTGAAAATGTCATACTACACCACTCTTTAAAAATAATTAGAACTCCTGAAATCTTTTCCACATTTTCTTGTTGCCCCTCACATTTTCCATGCATTCTGAGATTCTATGTACTAATATAGTAGTGAGAACATCCAAGCATGTTATTCAGTCCCACTTTTTTTACGGCAAGGTAGCTCGTCTCCCATATCTTACTGGCACATCTCCATTTATTTGCACTTGTACCATATATACAGCTTATAAGGATGTTGTTTGAGTCGCATTTTTTTTACATCATACATGTCACTCGTACCTTGATGACACGTCTTCATTTATGTTGTGTATTTTGATTCTATTCTATAAAGCCTTGGTTCATTGGTTCCTTCTATCATTCATATTTTAAGCACCGATCTTTCATAGGCATGTTAGTCCAGATCTTTTATCTTGATCGTTTGCGTTCTGTTATGTAAAGTTCAGACCTATATGGGATATCGAGTTTAGTGATGTGGTAAGTTGAGACTTGACGACATTATATAATGTAATTTGTCATTTTAAAAGTTAAATATTGTGTCGGTTTTTATTCGTTATTTTTGCTAGTATATTTAATAAAAGCCTGGTTTCTAAATTCCCTTTTATGGTTTTATGTACGATAAGCATGCATGTGGTGTTCGACATCATTGTTTTTCTATTTTAACAGATTGCAGGAAAAATAAGTGCGTTGATTAGAGATTTGAAACTTAGAGATATTGGCCAGTTAGAGCAAGATCTTGTTTTTGGTGATGCAGGAGCAAAAGAAGTGATTAATTTTCTGAGGGCAAATCAGGTTTTAGAAAGTATTCCTATTGAAAAAAGTTGTTGCTAAATACTTTTATTGAACGCTAATTTGATGTTGGGGCCACTTACTTTCAGGATGTCTCTGCAGAAATTAAGCTGCGTCTATTGATGATATATGCCTGCGTTTATCCAGAAAAATTTGAAGATGAAAAAGGTGTTAAGCTGATGCAGGTAAAAATTTCAGAGTTATTCGTGATAAATTCGCATTTCCCTTTTTATGTTCGATAGTTGGGATCAACCCAGTATTTTGACTGATAATATTTTCTATTATTATTATTGTTGTTGTTATTGTCATTATCGGCGTTGTTGTCAAAATATTTCTGCTTGATTTCCAGTATACATTCATTCTATGGAAACGTCTGAATCTAAAATTCATTTCAGCTAGCAAAGCTTACAACTGAAGATATGAAAGTTGTGTCCAATATGAAGTATTTGGGCGGCCTAGACACCAAAAAGGCTTCAAGGGGGAGTTTTTCTCTCAAATTTGATGCTCAGAAGGTAAATTTTATTTTAATTTTCATGTCTTTCACTTTTACCCAACTTATGATTTTCGTTTCACATTTATCTTCAGAAGAAGCATGCAGCTAGGAAAGAGCGGGAGGATGAGGATGAAACATGGCAATTGTCACGATTCTACCCCATGATAGAGGTAAATAGAAGATTATCTAAGCTGAGTTGTTATTTAATTTCTTGAAAGAAATTGGATTCACGAAGTTAAGGTGAGTTTTAAAATGATGCGATCAACATATGATTTGTAAGGATCCCTTTCATGAGTGATTTTTAAATGGTATGCATAATATGTTTCTCATATGTAGTCTAGTTCTTTTATATGGCTATCCATTACCATTTATTTAGACAGATTCAGACCCCGTAGTGCAAATTAGAATCGCTAATTAAAAGTTAAAAGTTTAATTAATAATTCCGATGGAGAGATTATTCTGTACAGAGACCAGACGGCGAGAACCGTCCGAATTTGTTGCGCTTTTATGATAGGAAACACTTGTAGATCTCAAGTATTTCCTATCAATCTTTGGAAAACAGCTAGAATTCTTCACAAACAGTTCGCCAAAATCACGAAAGCAGTAGATAATTTGTATTATTTGATGAAATGAAAATGGAAAATAGCAAGATATAATTGATCCTCTATTCGAGAGGATGATCGATCTCTCCCAAATCTCTAGTGCCGCTAAAGCCCAAAGAAAAACCTAAATCTTGAAGATCTCCAATTTCAGCCAAATTCAAGATACCCTAACCTAGAAAAACAAAGTGTTTAATGTATATAAATCAAAAGAAAATCCCTAAATAGTCCCTACATTCAAATTTCCCTCTTAATTCCCCCAAAATTATTTCCTATTTGGCTCCCAAAAGCACGCGGCTCGTGCTGCTGTAGCAGGAGGCGGAGAGCACCCGCCCCGTTCGCGGCTGGGTCGGTCCCGCGTGGACTGGTCCAATGGACCAGTCTAACAATACTCCCCTCCCAAAGATCCACCTTGTCCTCAAGTTGAAAATATGCTCGTGTTCCCGTGGAGGTGGTCATCCTTGAGGTGGCTGAAAAACCTTACCGAATTGCTGAAAGGGCTGTACTGAAAGAGAAACATCCCCTCCCTCCTTCAATCTGATCACATCCAACTTGTGTAGTCCCACCATATAATCTTCCCCCACCTCCTGTATGTCCCCAACCATGGTCTTAAGTAATGTCATGGCTTTGGATAACCTTGCATCTCCCCTTATAACCATCTTTCTCCCATCTACCATTAATTCCATCGTGAGTGCTCCCCAATTGTCCTTGGTTTCCCCTAAGGTTTGCAACCATTTCATCCTTAGGATGACATCAGTACTTCCTAACTCTAGTGGGAGAAAGTCCTCCCTTACATAAATCCCTTGGATGGTCAACACGACTCCGCCTTTCTCCACCTTCCTTGTACCAATCATCACCCCATAACAACTAGTGTCCACCAATTTCACTCCTAGTTGGTTGACGACATGAGTGGAAATGAAATTATGGGTAGCCCCACTGTCAATCAAAACAACCACCTCCATGTCTGCTATTTCCCCCTTCACCTCCATCGTATGATTCGAAGTGAATCATACTACTGAATTCAGGAAAACCTCGGCCAAATCCAAATGCAACTTCTCCTCCATCTCTTCCTCTAACTCCCCCTCACCTCCCTCCTCAATTTCTTCGTTATCACAGATGATGAGAACTTGAAGAGTTCGGTACTTGCACCAATGTCCTGGTGTATATTTCTCCTCGCACCTGAAACACAATCCCTTTGCCCTCCTCTCCTTCTCTGTCAGCCTCTTGAAAATTTTCCCACTCCCTCCTGCTAGCTTCTTCTTGGTGGTCTTATTAATATTGCCTGATGCAGGCCCCTTGGAAGCTAGAAGAGTGGTCGTCGTCCTATAAGAGCCTCTTGAGTTGTTTCTCCTAGCTCCCTTCTCTAGATTCTTCTGATTTTCCACTAGTTGGGCCAACTTCATGCCTCCCCCAAATCACGAGGCGTCAAAACATTCACTGCTGCTCGGATCTCTGCCTTCAACCCCTTCATGAAGTTTCCCTCTAATACTATATTTGATAATCGCTCCACCCTACTGGCTAGGTGCTCAAACTGCTCTCGGTAGTCTGCTATTGATCCCTCCTGTGCCAGAGCAAAGAACTGTCTCCTAGCTCCCTTCTCTAGATTCTTCTGATTTTCCACTAGTTGGGCCAACTTCATGGCCTCCCCCAAATCACGAGGCGTTGAGAGTCAACATGCTGCTCGGATCTCTGCCTTCAACCCCTTCATGAAGTTTTCCTCTAATACTATATTTGATAATCGCTCCACCCTACTGGCTAGGTGCTCAAACTGCTCTCGGTAGTCTGCTATTGATCCCTCCTGTGCCAGAGCAAAGAACTGTTCATAGAAATCTCCTCCTCAATCGGTTTGGAAACGTTTTATTATGCAGTCCTTGAATTCCATCTAGTCCCTGATAGGTCTCCTCTTATCTCTTCACTAGTACCATGACAGTGCCTTTCCCTTCAAACATAGGCCTGCTACTATCAGCTTCTCCTCCTCAGTTAGCCCATTAACGACAAAGTAGCTCTCCACCTTATAGATCCACCCATACGCATCCTCCCCCTCGAAGATAAACATCTTCAACTTCCTCACCTTCTGATCTCCACCATTCCTCCTTATTCATCCATAGCTTCCCCTCTCCCAAGTCCCAAGTGCTCGACCCACCCCACGTCTCCCAGTTTTCCCTTGCCCTGCCATAGCCCAAACCCCCTTCGAATTCCCCTCTTCTTCCTTCAAAATTAGCACCTCAACGACCATAATGCCCCTCCCGGCGTTCCCAATCAGCACCCCTTTGCTTCGTCCCTCCATACCCATGCCTTTCCACATACCTACCTCCTCTATCCTCCCTGTGGAAAGGCTCCAGATAGGGTTTCCTTCTTTCTCCCTTCACGATTTTCACCTCATCTTCCTCCCTACGAATTTCAGAATTCATATTTTTTCTTTCCTCCTCTTTTTCCACGGAAGCTACTGTTTGGTTGTGGATTTCCAAATTTTCTTCATCATGTCCCGGAGATCGACTACTTGTCCTTCCATGGAGGAAATCCTTTCCTCCACCATTGTCTTGATTTGGTTCATCTCTCCTTCAAGCCTTTCTTCTAGGGCATCAACTTTCTTGGCCGCTATCTCGATTCGAACTTTTGTAAATCTAAAAATTCCGGATTTGGATTACAAAAACAGTAACTTCGTTCGTTCCCGACCAAAAATCATCCATTGAAATTCACCAAAATCAGCCCACGAATGGTCCCAAGACTTGATTTGATACCAATTTGATAGGAAACACTCTTAGATTTTAAGTATTTCCTATCAATCTTCGGAAAACAGCGAGAATTCTTCACAAACAGTCCGCCAAAACCACAAAAGCAGTAGATAATTTGTATTATTTAATGAAAGGAAAATGAAAAATAGCTAGATACAATTGATCCTCTATTCAAGAGGAGGATCCCAAATCTCTAGACGCCGCTAGAGCCCAAAGAAAAACCTAAATCTCGGAGATCTCCAATTTCAACCAAATTCAAGATGCTCTAACCCTAGGAAAACAAAGTGTTTAATGCATACAAATCAAAAGGAAATCCCTAAACATTCCCCATATTCAAATTTCCCTCTTAATTCCCCCAAAATTCTTTCCTATTTGGCTCCCGAAAGCATGCGGCTCGTACGGCTATAGTAGGAGGCGGAGAGCGCCCGCCCCATTCGCGGTTAGGCCGGTCTCGCGTGGACCGGTCCAATGGACTGGTCTAACATTTTATTACCCTTTTGCTGCGCTTTTGCAAATATTCAGTTAAAGGGAATCAAATATACAATTATGAATGCACTTTTGCTGAGTATTTGCTGCGCTTTTACAAAAGGTCAGCAAAAGTGTAGTAAATATTCAATTAGTAAGATATTTTCTACGCTTTAGCTGCATTTTTGTTACCTTTGGATTTGACCCGGTTAGGAAAGTAGATGTATTAGATTTGACTTATGTTAAGAAAGGTAGTGATAGACCTAAAAAGACTTGGTTAGAAAATATTAGAAATAACCTTTATTTATTAGATTTAAATGAGAATTTAACTTTTAACTGGCCACAATGCAGAAAAAGGATTCATACAGCTAACCCCGCATAGTGGGATAAAGGCTTGATGTTGTTTGTTGTTAAGGTAGGTAACGCAACTCCCAAATGCCCCATATTCTACCCGTCAAACCTACTATATACCATTATGTCGTTGAAAAATACAACCACAAACCTTCGCGGAATACCCTATTAATCAGAGACTGAAAAGTGGCTGGTGTGTTAGTGAGGCCAAAAGGCATCACCAAGAACTCATAATATCCCTTGTGTGTCTTGAAAGTTGTCTTATGGGTGTCTCTTGGTCGCATTATGATCTGGTGGTACCTGAATTTCAAGTTGATCTTGGAGAATATCATAAATCCATACAACTCATCTAACTGCTCATCAATGACTTGTATGGGAAACTTGTCTGGAATAGTTTCCTTGTTCAGGGCATAGTAGTCTACATAAAACCTCCAACTTTCATCCTTCTTCACCAACAATACAAGACTAGAGAAAGGGCTTTCTAATGGGGGAGACTCCTTCCTTTAGATTATTTCAACTTCAAGCATCTCCCGAATCAGTCTCTTAATCTCATCCTTCTGGATACGAGAGTAGCAGTATGGCCGAACACTAATGGGGGAGACTCCTTCCTTTAGAATAATAGAGTGTTCTCCCGTGGGGGTGGCATGGCAATCCCTAGGGAAGCTGGAAACACCTCTTGGAACTGTTGAAGAAGTGGTGGGATAATGTCTGGAATGTCCTCTATCTCCTCTGCCTCTCTTCCCACCAAACTCTGGAGCTCCACCAAGAATCCCCCTCCTTTCCCTTATATGGCATGAACCATGGTTTTTAAAGAAATCATTGCTTTGGATAAGCTGAGGTCTCCCTTAATTACCACCTTTCTCCCCTCCTCCTGCTAATGTCTTCCAGCTTACCTTGGGGTCCCCCAAGATTTGTAGTCATTTCATTCCAAAAATCAAATCAGTACTTCAAAACTCCAATGAAAGAAAATCATCCTTGATGTGAATCCCCTGCAACTCTACCACCAAACCCTGAAAAGGCCCTCTACTCTTCTCCACCTTTCATGTGTCTATCATCACTCTAAAACATCTCGTGTCCACCAATTTCAACCCCAGTTTGTCTACCATATGGTTCGATATGAAATTGTGTGTAGCCCCACTATCCACCAGCATCGCAACTGCCTCTCAGGGTGAATCCCACCACAAAGTTTATTGAAACTTTAGCCACCTCCATGTGTAAGGGCTCCTCTTCCCTTGATGCATCTGCCTCATCTACCTCCTCATCACACACAAAGAGAACCTGCAAGGTAGGACCATGTCCCGGTGTAAATTTATCATCATATCTCAAACATAACCCCTTAGCCCTCTTGTCTTGCAGCTCAGTATCAATCAGTCACTTGAAGTTCCCTCCCTGTCGGACTCCCAAATCGCCCTCTTTTGGATCCTCCATTTGAACTGGTATAGTTTACACCCTAGGTGCCAGGAAAGTCGTTGTCATGTAGTAAGAACCTCCCAAATTGATTCATTTACCACACCTCTATACTAAATTCTTGTCCTCAATCAGTTGAGTTAACTCCATTGTCTTTCCCAAGTCACGGAACCTTGCCACCCGCACCGCTGCTCTTAACTCTGGTTTGAGGCCTTTCATGAAATTGCTCGCCAACACTGTCTCCGGTAACCTTCCTACCCTTTCTAACAAAAGCTCAAATCTTTCCCAATATTATATCACAGTGTCTACCTGTGTCAATGCAAAGAATTGCTCATAGTATTGCCCATCCTGCTTTGCTTGGAAACACTCCAACAAGCAGTCCTTAAACTCCTCCCACGAATGGATCAGGTATCTTGTCTCTCTCCATTTGTACCATGTCAGTGTCTTCCCCTCAAGACATAGAATTGTTGTCATAAGTCTCTTACCTTCTATTAGCTCATTCACCGCAAAGTATCCCTCCACTTGGGCAGCATTTTATCTTTTAAGTGCCTTAGATATACTAAAAGTCCAAAGTCATACCTTAGGCGCACAACTTGATTAGTTAAACGAGAATTTGACTTTTAATAGGACACAATGGAGAAAAAGGATTCATGTAGCCGACCCCACGTAGTGGGATAAAGGCTTGATGTTGTTGTTGTTGTTGTAGTAATGTCTCCTCTTTTAAATTTGTCTACATTGATGGAGCACTAATTTTTTCATCCTTGTTTTTCTTGAATTGGCAATAGGGTGGCTCTTTAAGCTCTTCTTTTAGCTATTTAGGCTTTTCCAGTTCTTGTTACTCTTGACTCATTGCTCTTTTGGATGTCTTTGGCCAGCCCATGGTACACAATTATGTAACTATGCACGATCTTGACCATTCTGTGATCGCTTTTACTTTGGTAGAGTCAATCCTGATGATTAAATTTTGGTACATCAACATATTTGGCGCTGGTGTGTCAGACTTGGGTTGTATTTCTTGCTTGGTGGTCCTCTTTATTGGAAATCATTGTGACTCATTGAAGAGTGATGCATGCTCCTCAGTTAGCTTCTACATCTGTAATTCACCTTCTTTACCTAAGGCAACAAGAATATGGCTTCTCCTTTCTTCTTAACAAACCGGACAAACATCAACAAGATTTTTGGCATATAATATTCATAAGTCTATCTACTTGCTCTATTATTAATATGTTTGTCTTTAGTATATTGTAGCCTTTTTTATTAGAAATACCTTTCCTTCCTTTATGAGATGATACTAATAAGGTTGTTAATGTAGCATCCCATACTTATAATGAAGGTCTAAGTTGTTGAAGATGACTATACATTTGTCAAATGAAATAATCTTGCATATTATCTCATTGATATAATCCTTAGTAATTGAAAATCTTAAGCAGCCTTGTCGACCAATCTTCATCTCTAATCCTTTATGAATACAACTCAAAGGTTAATGATTTGTATGGGTTAAGTTGTCTAACTTTTTAAATTTAGATTGATAAATTAAAGTTCTTTTAAGTGTTGGTATTGATAATAGCATTGATCATCTCTTGCGTGACTTGCATCCTTAGATCAAAATCTCCTCTCATGTTTCCGTACTTTAGAATGACCTCCCTACTATATCCTTGGGTCTTCATCAAAGATAGAGATGGGTTCGCCTTGTCCTTTGAACTTAGCATAATGTTGCCCACTAGCAATAATTTTGTTTTTTCCCACCCTTATTCTACTTTTTGTGGAAGAGTTCAAAGTACACTTTCTAGCATTTTTCTATGGTGAGATTAAGCATCCGAGAATCGTTGCAAAACTTCCCAAAACATTAGTTCTGCAAGAGGAAAGTCCCTTCTTTGGATGGTTCTTGGGCCATCTTGCTTTTACTTTGGTTGAGCTTCATGATAGGAAAGAGGTGGAGTTCATTAGTCATTTGAGAGAAAAGCTGAAGGTGTATTTCTTAAGCATTTGTACGTCCCCTACATAACTCCCAAATTCACTACTTGTCTCTTGAAGTCAGTGATATAATCCTAAACATATTATCCTTAATGTTGTGTCAAACTGTCATTTCTTCAATCCTCAGTACAAGTAGAACTTACTAAGTATTAGTTGCTTGAACTATACCAAGGTTATTTTATAATGACTATTTCCTTTTAAGTGAAATTTCCATAAAGCTTAAGCACGATTGCTTAATTTATATCATGCAAACACCACTTTTTCATACGTATTTTCCAATTAAATTATTTATTGTGCAAATGCAACAGTTTCTATTGGCTATTATGTAATGGGAAATTTTTCTATGAGAAAATTTGTGTAGAAATTTTTCTGTAAGAAAATTTCATTTGTTAGGTTGTTATGTGCATATTTTTATTAAACTAACTGTTGAGTTTCCTTGTGTTCTATTTTGGGGTTTGTTAGTTCTCCTGTGGTAGAGTGTACAATTAATGCTGTTTCTCAGGAGCTGGTTGAGAAGCTTAGCAAGGGAGAGCTTCAAAAGAATGAGTTTCCATACATCAATGAACCCACTCCTATTAAGCAAGAGGGCCCGAATACAAGTGAACCTGCACAAACGGGTTCAAACCAGGCTCGTCACTCCAAATCTAGGCGAACCCCAACATGGGCTAAACAACGTGTTTCTGATGATGGCAATTCAAGGTACTCTCTCAAAGCAAATTCAACTCCAGTAGTAAGAAAATGCAATTTCAGTTCCCGATTACTTCATTATATTGTCTTTGAAAATACTGTGATACTTGTATTGGGCTATTATTTTCTTATTGCTTTGCAAAAATTTATTTAATGGAAAGTTGATTTTTATAGTGTAGTAGTTGTGAGGAAACTACTATATTTTTTCAAAATAAAAATTTATAATACTCGCATCAATTTTCAAGCAAGTTGGTTTTTCACAACAGTTTTACAACTGTCTTTACAAGATGTTGTTGACCCAAATAAATCTTTTGTCTATTACTTTCTTATAATTTTGTTTTTGTAGCGATTCTGTGTTGGGAAATGCGTCTTCTGATTTCAAGAGAATGGGGCAACGGATTTTTGTTTTTGTTATTGGTGGTGCTACTAGATCCGAGGTAAAAACAAGTTTTTGCTTAAAATTATATCTTGCTTGTAGTGATCGTAATGATTTCCTTCCACTCATTTTTCTTACAGTTAAGATCAGCTCACAAACTTACCGGGAAAGTTAAGAGAGAAGTTATCCTTGGATCTTCTAGTTTAGATGATCCTACACAGTTTATCACGGTGAGCTAAAATATCTAATCTTTTGTTAAAAAAATATTAATTGGACCTATGCTTTTATCCTTTAACATTATAATATTGAACGTTGTACTGGAAAAAATGATGCATTAGGTGTTTAAAGTTTCGACTATATGTGGGGTCTATTTCGGTCACCTGAAGCAACTTAACCTTAAACTCGAATCAGCCTCCTCTTATTTAAGGCATTGTTTGGGGCAGCTTTTGTACTGCTTTTTAAAATGACTTTTATGTACAAAAATTTTAAATTCAAAAAAAATTTTGTACTAAAAAGTTGTTTTAGAAAGCAAGAAGAAAGTCATCTTAAACGAAGCCTAAATTGATATAAAGCAAAATTAAAGTTTAGGCCACATAACATAGAATAAGATCCTATCAAAAGATTCGGCAACATGGATCACTTTTTTTTTTGGTTATTATCCTGTCTGCTTTTTCTGTGATTTTGTCATGCTAGAACTGTTTTTTGTAATTTTATATGAGAATCTTCATTTTTTTTTTTAATATAAGAACACTCCATTTGAGATAAGTAGCTTGAGATATTGTGAACATGCATATAATATATACTTACTGCCTCATTCTGCCTTCATTTTTTGTGCTTTGCAGAAAATGAAGCTACTTAGCTCTAAAGATGTGTCTGGAAGTGCTAATCAAATGCGAACGAGTATCTTCAATTTTTAGCAATTGTCAGGAAACGTTATTGGCAAGAACTAGAGGTTGCCTCTCTCTCATTTGTTACATCCAGAATTTTTTGTTTTCTAGTTAGCTTTAAATGATATTGAACAAGTATTTTATTATTTTGATTGAAAATTGCATAATATGTATACAGCTGGTTATACAAGTAACAATTTCATTATTGTGATCATGATGACCATTTTCTATAACTGCAGTTACTAATAAAACTGAAAGGAATGTAGACCTGTATGCTCTTAGCTTCAAGATTTGCATAATTTTGTAATATGTTTGAATCACACACTATGCAAAATTTCTCGCAAATTTCCAATATGTTTGCATCACACCCTATGAAACAATGGAAACAAAAAAGGATATGATGCAATTGAGTTTTAAAACCTTGCATTCAGCAAATAAAGTTGACAAATGAAGATGTGAAGTATCCAATTAGGAGTATTTGGCTGGTCAAGACAAAAAAAATCAACTAATAAAGCTTTTCTCTCAAATTTAAGTATTGATTTGTCTCATGCTATGTGAAAAATATGATGTGAAAAACTAAATGATCCCCCATTTCTGGGGTGGGTACCTCTTCTAGGTTAGTCGAGAATTAGTCACACCGTCAAGCCCCCTTTCCCCTTTCAGGGGTGGCAGCTGGTGGATCCCCCGTTACAAAAAAAAATTAAATGATTATTCCCATAAAAAACGAGTTTTGCTGATAATGTCAATTAGCCTTTGAGCAAAACCTCCCCAACATTGATCTCCTTACAAGTGAGAATGACTAACCTTCAAACGATCACTTCCATCCATATCTCTCTTTTTTTCTATAATATAACTAAAAATATATAGATGCATTCACCCAAAATTACACATTTTTTGTCATCATGTTCACTTCTGCTTATACATTTTCCTTATTAAGATCATGTACACTTTGGGGAGTTGCAGCAACGAATTGCAGGGCATAGCCAAAAGGCTCAATTTCCATATTAAATTTTGTGATATAAAACAAGTTGAAGACGCACAAACTCCAACAAAGAATAAATTTCTGTAGTCATGGGATGAGAAATATCTCCCACAACAAACTCATGAACAACACCACCCAGCTCAATCCAACTGCAACCCGGGATCTTTCTCATCTCTCTTTGCGTCATGATCATTCTAAATCGGTTAACATTATCCCACGACAAAGTACTAGCATAAATATTCGAAAGCAAAACATAAAAACTGGAGTCACAAAAGCCTACTTGTATTGATTCTTCTGCAACCCTTTGGCCCATTATAAGGTCTCCATGGTTCCTGCAAGCACTCAGCAAAGATCTCCAAATAATATCATTTGGCAACATAGGCATCTCTTCAATCATCTTCCATGCATCTTCTAGCCTACCAGCCCTGCCTACAATATCCACCATGCACCCATAGTGTTGCACCTTAGGCTCCAATTTGCAAACATTTTTCATAGTTTCAAAACACTTGAGGCCTTCATCAACTAAACCTGCATGGCTGCAAGCATTAAGAACTCCAATGAATGTAATGTCATCAGGCTTCAGTAAGAGGTTATCCATGACATGGAAGAGCTCAAGAGCTAGCTCCCCGTAGCCGTGAATAGCAAGCCCGCCTATGATAGCATTCCAGTGATCCACTGTATCGCCCGAGGCCTCAAAAACCAGCAGAGCATCTTCCAGTTGGCAGCATCCTTCCTACCATTCATCGCGTGACCGTGAATAATAGAGTTCCAGGACACGGAGTCCCTCTGCGGCAAGTTCACAGTGACCGCAGCGAGAGTAGAACCCGATAAGACAGTTATGAAGATACAGCTCCGCGGCAAGGTTAGACTTGAGGACGACGGCGTGCACCTGGAGGCCAATGGGTAAAGAAGGGTTCTCGAAGCTGGCCTTGAGGAGTAGAGAGACGGAGAAGCGGTCGGCGGTGATGCCAGCGGCGAGCATAAGCACGAAGGAGAGTGCGGCGGCGGGAGGATCAGTTGATGATTTGATGATAGCGTTCCATAGGAAAGGGTTGTCTCGGGAGTGGATGGGGATGGAGGAAAAGAAGATGCGGAGGGCAAGGAGGCGGATAGGAGGGTCAGGGAAAGAGCAGAGCCGGAGGATGAGGCCTACGGCGGCGGGAGGAGTCCGGCGGTGATGAAGCGGGCGTGAAGTTGGTTAGCGTCGCGGAGAGTCCGGCATTTTGGGAGAGTGTTACCCCGTCGCACCTAATAATTTTTCGTTAGAGAGAGGAGAAGGATCAGTGGGCGGGTGGGAGCCCGCGCAGGCGAGCATGGTCGTCATAGATTTTTTTTTTAATAGAATTTTTACATGCATAACATCCAAAACATACCTATAATTCAAATATCTTTCTCTTGATAAAAAATAACACTCCGTCAACTCTATGAATATCCCCACCTCGATCCTATCTTTTCCGCGCAAAATCCCTTATATTCTTCTTCGTTGGAATGTCTACCCCGACCATGCCTTTCGCGCACGAAACCCCTATCTTCTTTTTCACTCGAGTATTTGACTTTCGTGTTTGGAGTGAGTGCCGCTCTCCTTATCCATCCCGTGCGAACAACCTAACTGAGTGGAATATGTGTCTGACATCTCATGTGATCAACCAAATCGAGAAGACCTCCCTTCACCTCGGCAAATTATTGGGTCAGGTGACCGAACGCAGAGATAGGTTCGGATAATAATAAAATATTATTTTAAAATTAGCGCAACTAAAGCGCAACTAAAGCGCAACCAAAGCGCAACTAAAGCGCAACCAAAGCGCAACCAAAGCGCAACTAAAGCGCAACTAAAGCGCAACCAAAGCGCAACTAAAGCGCAACCAAAGCGCAACTAAAGCGCAACCAAAGCGCAACTAAAGCGCAAGTCAAAAAGCGCAACTAAAGCGCAAGGTGACGCGGCAAATTTTTATTGGCTGTCCGAACTTATCTTTTGGCTCCGGTCACCTACACCCCAATAATTTGCCCTTCACCTCTTCTTCGCTCAAGCAAATGCTCACTTTGAGCTCTATTTATTCATTCTTCTCCATTTCTTAGTTGTTGTCACTTTGAACATATATCTATTATCTCTGCTTTATTATTATGTGGGGCTGGAAGAAACAATACAAGTTTCTTTCTCACTGTTTAAAGATAACCTTCATTTAATCACTCTTATTATAGCTAATTCATTTAGATAGCATTGCTACTTAGAACTTGCAGAGTTTCACGGGCCATATATGAAATTGACAAAGAAGGAACTTAAATAATAAAATAATAAACCATCTCAAATAATATCAATTTATGTAGCTTCTGAAAAACTATCTTTTTTTTTTTTTCTTTTGAGTAATGGCTTTGCATAGGTTCGGGCGATGATACTAATGTTTTCTCAAAATCAATTTGGATTCATGCGTTAGGTCGACTGTTAGCCATACATTTATTAAGAGGTTTGATGGAGAAATATAGAGAAAATAAGGAGGTATATTATATATTATTATTGATTTAGAAAAAGCATATGATAAAGTTTCAAGAGAAGTGCTATGGAGAGTTCTTGAAAAGAAAGGAGTTAATAATGCTTATATTCAAATCATTAAAGATATGTATGCATGAGCGATTACTTGTGTTCAAACACAAGTGGTTGACAAGTATTTCCCTATTCAGTGGGTTACATCAAGGATCGGCCTTAAGCCCATATCTTTTTGCTTTAGTCATAGATGTTCTCACTAGACATGCCAATAGGATGTACCTGTATATGTTTTTTTGCTGATGATTTCTTCCTTGTTGATAAGACTAGAGAGGGAGTTGAAAGTAAACTTGAATTATGGAGGTCAACATTAGAGACTAGAGATTTTCGCTTGAGTAGATCTAAAACGGAATATATTGAGTGTAATTTTAATAGTAATCGACCTAGTGAGGGGATTGTGACTTTGGGCGATCAAGTCATTAATATCTTGGATTTATTGTTCAGAGTGATGGTGAAATAGATGGGGATATTATCAGCAGAATTCAAGTTGGATGGTTGAAGTGGAGGAATTCATCAGGCTTGTTGTGTGATAGAAAAGTACCCCTCAAACTTAAGGGAAAATTCTATAAGATGGTAGTGAGGCCTGCAATGCTTTATGGTGTTGAATGTTGGCCATTAAAAGAGAAGCATAATATTAAGTTAAGTGTGGCAGAGATGAGGATGCTCAGGTGGATGAGTGGCTTTACCCTTAGAGATAGGATACGAAATGAGCATATACGTGAAAATGTTGGAGTAGCTCCAGTAGAAGATAAGATTAGAGAGAGTCGCCTTAGATGGTTTGGTCGCATAAAACGGCGGCCTTCCAATGACCCGGTTAGGAGAGTAGATGTATTATATTTGACTTATGTTAAGAAAGGTAGAGGCAGACCTAAAAAGACATGGTTAGAAAATATTAGGAATGACCTTTCTTTATTAGATTTAAACGATAATTTGACCTTTAATAGGACACAACGGAGAAAAAGGATTCATGTAGCCGACCCCACGTAGTGGGATAAAGGCTTGATGCTGTTGTTGTTGTGTAGTGTCTTTGCAGCGTCATTCTAGAAGTTTTTGTATGTTGCATTAGTAAGTTGATTTCAGATACTAGATATTGTTACAAAAATCGGAAAAATAACTTAGACAAGTTGTTGTTCTTCACAGAATTGGAGTTTACAGGGTTTGAAATTATATACCCCTTATATCCATTGTATAAGTTTTGTAGTTTAATATTCAAATGTAAACAATTGGATTTAAGTGATACTAATGATTTCCATTCTCGTTATTATTTGCATTCGTTGATATGAATTTGAATAACTTTTGCTTCATTGTCTTCAAATTTGATGGATATTGAAGTGTGTTGAAGGCCTAAAATAGAATGAAATATGTTGCTAGTAGTCAAACAATTATAAAGCTTGAGATAAATTAAATTATTTTATTGTTGTTGAAAGAACAAACTCAATTAGTTTGTCCATAGTTTAGGGGTCATGCCTTTGAGTTACAATATCATATCAATGGAACACCTCCTGAAATTTACATGCCAATTATAAGTGATATTGATGTACTTGACATTCTTAATAATTCTTATGAAAGAAGTTGAATTGAGGTGGTGGTTGTAGTTCAAGAATAATATATGACTCAATCAAAAACTAAAAATGATAACCTGTTAGTGGAAATGCATCATTAAATTTCAAAGAGTAGTGAGGACAATGACATAATGCTAGATGGTTTGTGTGATGGTTTCTCTCTGGCTCATATTGAAGATGCGACACTCTATGTGTAGG